TCAGAAATACCTGGTAACGTAATTTAAAGTATTTCCATCGTGTCTTTAGTCAATCTAGGTCAGTTCCAAGTGCAAAAACGATCTCGAAACTTCAAAAATCTTTTGAAAATTTGAGATTTTGGTCGAAGATCACAATTTTTTACAAGAACTTGTCAAGTTTTGTATAGTCAAAAAATACTAAGTATTTTAATAGTGTTTTTTTCTTAGTTTAACTATATTTCAAGTGCAAAAACTATCTAGAAAATTTAAGAAAATTTTGAAATCTTGGTCGAAAAGTCACATTTTCAGCAAAATTTCGTCGTTTTTACACCTAGAAATAGTAAAAAAAGCTTCTACAAAGGTTTCTTTCAGAAAAAAGACGCAATTATTAAAAAGTTGCCTCCCCCGAAAACGCAAAAGAACTCCTGATTTTTCTCACAAACCTGCGTGGAGGATTGCTTCTGTCGGTCAGCAAAAAGGGTGGCGAGTCGCGGGCGATCGTCGAGGGGGCCTAATTAAATACCAATAGTTAATTCATCCAAAAAAGGCGAATGAATGGCCCCGAGTTTTGCCAGTGTCGATGGGAATGGAATGGAATGGAATGAAGAGGATGGGAGATACTCTTCAAAATATCGCCGCTCAACACCACTCTATCCACATTGACACATCTTTTCTATCTATCTATCGCTAAAAACTCGGCAAGTCAAGAGGAGGGGGACTGCCCCATGCATTCCAGAAGAATCCCAACAACCCATATGATGAGGCGGATGCTCCTAGGAAAGGCAGACACCCCAAAACTGGAACACTTTCCGGGTTTTAGACGATTTTCAGCTTAAAGCCTTAAAAGGTTCGCGAAAAAGCGCTTGGTCAACTGGTAAAAAGCTCTAGTTTCTCGCCCAGATGGTCCGGGTTCGACTCCCGCCGACTGGAAATTTTTTTAACTATTTCTGAAACCGATAAATGTCAAAAACGGGGTAAAACCCACGCCGATCTCCATGATAAATTGTCTAAACTTTCGTTTCTCACCCAAACTATCCGATTTCGACTCCCAGACGCTGCAAATTTTTTTCTTTTACTAAAAACATCGTAAATACACAGAAAAACCACGCCCATTCATGTGAACAATTGCTAAAGTTCCCGCTTCTCACCCAAACCACCCGGGTTCGACCCCAGCCGTGGCAAAACTTTCTGCTTTTTCGACTAGTAGCTTTCTCAATCCAAAAAATACTACTCACCCTCCATTTTCCAAATTTTCAGCTTTAGAAAATAGTAGAAATCAACGAAAACCCCAAATTTCGGGTGATTCCGGTGGTTTTATTAGGTTTCCGGCGGGGGCAAAAGCTTTCCGTTGGACACCAATTTACGCGATGAATTAACGGGGGGGGGGTTCGGGGCGAAAGATCATACCTGAAACGCGGAGTCCACGCTTTCTTCGGGCTTTCGGCGGGTTTAGGCGGATGGCTTGATGGCTAGAAAAGTGGAGGTGAAATCGGTTGCGGTATATTAAAGGGGCCGGCAAGGCACGAGGGTAGCTATGGATTCCTACTCGATTACGTCATAGCAAAGCTACATTTTTGCTAAATTTTCTGATTAGCGTTTCCAAGCTTCAAAAAATCAGAAATTCAATAAAATAGCTAATTTTCATGCATATTTTGCCGATTCTATCGACAAAAAAAATAAATTTAGGCGCGTCAAACCCAATATTTCCTGAAAATTAAAGTATTGAAAATTTTTAAGTAGCTTTTCCATGTTTTACAAATTAAATAAATAATAAAGAGTAGAAGCGCGACAAAATCCATAGGAATCCATAGCCAAAAACCCAGATCCTGTCTTGCCAGCCCCTTTAAACTGCTCTAAAATATGTCTCAAAACCCATGAATCACCTTTTAAAGTGCGAATACACATTTGCCTCAATATGGGCGGCCATAAGGTTTTTTTGCGGTAGTTGGCTAGTCCAAGTTTTGGCGGGCCATGGTTGCCCCCAAAAAATGGACAGTGTTTTAGCGGCCCTTGCAGAGAGAGTCCTAGTAGGAATAGAAAAAGAATAAAAAGAATAAAAAGCGGGGAAAAGAAGAAGCGGAATGGAATGGAATCGGAAGGGGGGATGGACGGGGGCAATGGAAGAGCATCGGAAGCAACCCCGGGCAACAACGAGGCCGTGGAGGGACGCCGGTGGATGGGATGTGTCCCCTCTAGAAGAATCCCATTCCTCACCTATGGAAGTGCATGTCGACCACCAAGACGACCACCAAACGAGGGAAAACACGCCTGAAAAAACTTTTTTTTGGGTTTTTAGGAGCCAATAAACCCCTTAAAAGCGGGTATTGTTTGATTTTGAGGGTTGGGAAAACCTTCTTTAGCTCAAATTTTTGGCCTACCATCTCAATAATAAATTGTAATATCGTTTCTTATAGTTTTGCCCATGATTTTATAACGAAAAAGAAACCCAAAAAACCTTTATAAAGCCTATAAAGCTCCTAAAAACGGGTACTGTTCTATTTTGAGGGGAGGAAAACCGTCTTTAACTCAAATTTTCGTCCTACTATCTCCATAACAAATTGTAATATTATTTTATAGAGCTTCTCCAAGATTAGATAATTAGAAAAATAGCCCAATCAACTTTTTTCGACGTGTTTTGTAACCTATAAAACTCCTCAAAACTGGTACTTTTCCATTTTTCGGGGAGGAAAATCCTATTTAACCCAATTTCCTTCCTCTAAAGGCTATAAAATCGATCCCAAATTATTCTTTACTTCTACCAAACCGTCCCACAAATTTTATAGCGAAAATAACGCCTAAAAACTCTTGTTTCTTGTTTTTAGTAGCCTAGAAACTCGTAAAAATCGGTACTTTTCTATTTACGGATGAGGCAAAATCGTCATCTTCGCAATCACCCTATTCTTACGAGGGTTTTAATGTATCCTAGCGTGTTTCTTAAATTTCTAGACATCTAAACACGAAAAAGCTTTTAGAGTATTATATGAAAACGCAATTAAAATTCATGGTAAAACCTAAAATTTTGCTTTTCGAAAATCCTAGGCCGTTTCGTTGTTAAATTCTGGAAAAACTATGCGCAAAACTATTAAAAAATAACTATTGAGACCTAGATTGCTCTGATTTTCCGTTGCGTAGTTTTTTTCCTCCCCTGAAAACAGAATAGTGCCAAAGCGAGGGTGTTTGGGTGAGCAGAAAAATAGCGGAAGAAATGTGGCGAGGTGGTGGCCGTGATTCCGGAGGATATATTGCGCTCTGGAGTGGGCAATTCAACGGCACTTATTGGGGGGTCGCAGCAGATCGTTGGCACACGCCAACCAACCCGGCCAACAAGAACAAGAAGAAGATATCGAGATGAGATGATGGGGGGACATCTTGGAGGGTGGAAACACATCCCCGAAAAGGAGCACGATCTCATATACTACGCATTGTTGCGTAGTGTGTAGAGGGTGGGTGGGAGTGAGGGGGAAAGCTTGGAAAAGCTTCTGGGAAAAGGATAGTCGCTCAAAAAGCCATATTGGAGAAAGATTGGCCTCTAAAATTACTTTAGTAAACTGAACTCTACCACCGAAAAGCCACCGAAAGTTGTTGAAAAGTGTGTATGGGTCCATAAAAAGTGCAGAAAAGCTTCTGGTAAAAGGCAAGATGCTAAAAAACGTAAATTCGGAAAGCTATATCGTTAAAAAAAAATTTAGCCCCAAAAACTTTACTAAACTAAACTATGCCCCTCAAAATCCACCGGAAGTTGCGGAAACTTATGTATGTTTGAGGGAAAAGCCATAAACGCTTCTAGGAAAATCATAGCCGCTCAAAATCCTCCATTTGAGAAATTGAAACATAAAACGCAACGCTTTGCACTAAATAGTCGCCTGAAAAACCCCTACAAAACTGAATAACGCTACAAAACTCGTCGGAACTTGTGAAAAATGTGGTTATGGGTGAGGGAAAGCTTGAAAAAGCTTCTAGGAAAAGCATAGACGCTCAAAAAACGTATATTTGGAAAAGATATATCTCTAAAAATCAGATTCAGCCCCAAAAACTATACCAAGCTAAACCCTACCCACCGAAAAATCTCAAAAACCTGGTCCGGGAAGCTACAAAAGCTTTATAAAAAACCAAGACGCCCAAAAATGTATATCACTTCAAATAAAGTCATACCTATGAGAAAAACAGTCATCCACAAAATTACTATACAAACTAAACTCTACCCCCCAGAACCTCCGGCGCGGAACTTGTGGAAAATGTGGACATCCCTGGCCGCCCCCCGTAAATGATGGGCGGCTTCATAAAGGGCTTTTGATGGGTGATGCTCCCCGGGGCGGATCCACCAATTCAAAGCTCATTCCGGATATCAAACATGTTTTCCGGTGAGCAGTCCGGCAAAATATGTGGGGGCCGAATCGGATGATAACTACTAAATGGCAGTGAAGAATTACCTAAAATGAATTAGCTTCGGCTTCATGTAGAAGCCGCGCAGGCCTTCTCAATAGAAGCCGACGAAGCCCTCAAATCGAAAAAACAGTATGTTTAATACGATAAAATCCCTGCTTAGCCGAATAACCGCAAAAACCGTCGCCGAAAATGGTGCATTTGGCGCGGAGCCTCCTGAAAAATGGTCTTAGACACTTTCAGGCTTTAGAACCTTAGATGGGCCAGCTTTCGAAATCTCTCCTAGTTCCATCGACGTCTCACGAAACCTAAACCAACTAAAGCTTTATAAAAAAGATTTCTCGTACTTCGCCCGCTAACTTCAGGCAAATCTCAACACCAGCATCTTCATCATCGCCAAGCGGGGCGTAATACTCTCCTAAAAACAATTAAAAACAATTAAACAAAATCCTCTCACCTTGAACTTCGCGCGCCTCCCCAGCCCGCGCTATTCCGACGTTGTACACGCGACGTTTCCTAGGGCCCGTAAACAGCCGTATTTTGTAGCCACGCTGTTATTAATATTGTTTTATAAAGGTATCGTATTCTTATTTCATCAATTTACGAGCAAATTTTAATAATCCTTTTTCAGTTGAAAGATGAGCCGCTTCGCAGCGATTTTTGAAGAGCATCGCAAGGAGGAGGAGCGGGTTAGTATTGAGATGAATTGTTTATTTAAAATTACAGCACAAGCAGGCCGTACAGGCTTTCCGTTTTCACGGACCTCCCCATCAGCCCACCTTCCGCTTTTTCTCAGAAACCGACATCGACATCTGCCCTCCGGTATGTGTATCTGCAATAACTTTATAATTTTCATATCCCAGCCAAACCGATTCAAGAACGAGTCCGAAAAGCTTTGGGAGCAGATTCAAAAGCGCGAGCCCGTACCCTCTGCTCAGGGCATAATGCACCTCCACGACGTCTGCTTTTTTTGCTATGGCAAGGTCAGTCCCCCCTATTTAAGTTTCCAAGTTAGTTTTAGGCTCACAAAGCAGCTTCAAGCCGCAACTTCTCCCTCGAGTGCGCGTCCATCGGTCCGTGGCGCGGGCACAAGGCCCAGAATCAAGCCGGCGCCGTGACGTGAGTGCACATCCTGGAATAATCCCGGAATTATTGTCATTCCAGGTGCCCGGTGCTCTTCCGCCTGCGATGCTTTGTTTGCGGGGCGACCGGCGAACATGCCCACACACACTCGCATTGCCCCAACTTTCGCAATACTAACAATTCCTCCTAAATCACGTTGTTAATACCCTAAAATTTTTTGCCCCTATTAACTTTTGTTGTTCTCAAACTTTCCCCCCTAACGCATATCCCCTAATTATCTAGAAGATCTATAAATTTGTTTGCAATTCCATTCTCATATCTAAACGTTCTCTATTCTAAGAATACCATCCTCTATAATTGTGTTTTACTAATATGATTTGGTTATATTCGAAATCAGCGCAAAAAAACTAGCCTAGAAAGAATTAGCTAACTGGGACCCAATTTCTCAAATAATCTCGGCTAGATATCGCTCAATTACACAGTAATCCTCCGGATGGATGGCCGGGGTACGGTGGTTCGGTGTTGTCATTTCACGCGTTTATTCGAAGAACACAAAAACAACGAGTAACAACTAAGAACTCTAGCCACTACAACCTACAACAAATGACGAAACGGGGAGATGAGCAATTAGAGATCGTAATCGATTGGAAATTCTGGAGCGAAACATGAAAAATGGGGGCGCGTCGATTAGGCGGCCGTTTTATGGTGTTTGTGCTGCTGTTGCCGACATTTCTTCTGTTTGGCACGCGAATGCTGAAAAGGACACAATAACCTCAATAGAATAATTATAAAGACTAAAAAGCCAACTTTCTAAATTACGTTGCGTTAAATTCCGAAATACGAAATAAAATCCCGAAATAGATTCTTGGAACTTCCCGAATTTCCAAGGGCAAACTAGCAGCGATAATTTTTGAAAAATTGCAGCAAAATTGAGGGCAGGCTAGCGGAGGAAAATTGCGGAAATCGGTAAAGATCGTACCCCCTGCTGCTTGATGACCTCCTTGAAGTCGGCGCGGGCAATTGGGGGGATGACGTCGATTGTCAGCTCGTAGAAGATGCCTGGAAAAACGGATTAGGTACGCCACAAAATCCCGTAACCGGTTCGCAAGCGGTTAATTATCGATCGGACCGATCGGAAGCTGTAAATATGCTGAGAAGATGAACTGACCCTGGCGATATCGACGCGAGATCGGCACAATGCGGTGTCCCATCGACTCGAGCTTCTGAAAAAGTTTTAAAAATAGAAAAAATAGCAGACAAAAAGCGTAAATTCTGATTTTAAAGGCACCGGCAAGGCATGGGTCTATGGACTTTCCCTTTTTATGGATTCCATAAAGATTTTGCGGGGAACGCCTGAATTCTATTGGGTGATCGATTACGAGCTTTTTACAGTAGCGATGCGTGCGCGTTTCGCGCCGCGGTAAAAATTTCTGGTTTTTTTGTCCAAAAGCAGGAAAACTGTGAAAAACATCTAAAATTAAAATTTCCAATCTTTTAGATTACTCCCCCCCGTCAACAGTCCAGCCCCCGGTAAAATCCAGCAAAGATCCATAGCGTCCTGGCTTGCCGGTGCCTTTCAATTCAAAATTCGGGCCAAAAACTAACGGCAAAATTGGTGGCTAGCCAGTGATCGGAGTGTTGTGGAGATTGTTGAAGGGATTGTCGCTTCAGATGGAGAGCTTCTTCCGAAGATATTGAAGCCATTTCCTTCCATTCATGGGTCGTCGAGTCGAATTTCTGCCCGTGCATCTGGAAAGGGGAAATACATAAAAAAATCGGCAATTAATCGAAAACCCGGTCCCAAATTGCCTCTGTTAGCCTGCCAGACTGCCGAGGGGGTTCCGTAAATGCTTTATGCTAGCTCGCCAGCAAAAGAAACCGATTAGGTCACGTCATTCGTCTAAACCAGTCGCTATCGGCCGCCAATTTTCCAGAAAGTGCCCCGGCTAGCCTGCCCCAGACACCCAGATTTCCGCAAATTCTCTGTGCTACCTCGCCAGCCAAAAATTCAACCGGTTACGCAATGAAGTTGGTACAAAAACCGCGCTTATCGCCTCAATTTCCCCAAAGACCTCTGCAATCTTGCCCCATAGTTTGCAAAAATCCTCAAAGATCAACAATGGTCAAAAAGATCCTTTTAAATGGGTATGCTAGCAGAAAGCATTTGTGGAAAAGCCAACCCCCCTGGCAAACTGGCAGAGGCCACTAACGAAGCTGAGAGGGGCACGGGCAAGCTAGCAGAGACGCTTGTGGAAAAATCGGCCCGATTCGAGCCCATATCATGGCGTAATCGAATAAAAATCCGGCAAAAGTCCCTTTTAGCAGGGCAAGCTAGCAGGGAGGATTGGCGGAAAGCCAAACCCCTATGGAAAGGTAGCAGAGACCATTTAGGAAAGCAAAAACAGGAATGATACCTTGAGAAAGAAGTCGATGTGGGTATCCGGATCGGGTTCGGGCCATGGCTGTTCCTCTATTCGTTGTCCCTTTCTGTTGACTCGCTCGATCCATTCTACTGTATGCATCCCTGCCCACAGCTCCGTGGCCGCTGATGGGGCGAATACCTGAAAAATTTAGTATAAAATGAAAGGCGAGAGAGGGAGAGAGAGAGAGCGAGAGAGTGAGAGCGTGAGAGAGCGAGAGAGCGAGAGGGAGAGGGAGAGAGAATGAAAGAGAGGGAGAGAGAGAGCGTGTGAGAGAGTGAGAGAGAGAGAGGGAGGGAGGGAGATAGCGACAGGGAGACGGAGTATTGGAACGGAATGGGCTTAACACCACCGGAAAGCCCACGAAAAGCCCCGATTCCTCAAGTTTTATGCTTTTCAGGTGCTTTCGCATTATCGGGAGGATCGAATTTTCCCTCAAATTCCCGAAATGCCTAGTGACAGAATAGTAAGGGTTTTAGCAATGTTCTAACTATATTTCGGGTAGAAAATAATCAAAAAAGCGCCTGGAAACCAGAAAAATTTTTTAGTTACAGTTTAGGTCGAAAATTCGCTATTTGTTGTATTCGCTAATGAAAATTTGCAACACTTTTCGCCGTTTCTTGAAGTGCCAAATAATTCTGGGCCTTATAATTTTAAAAATTACGGAAAACCGAAGGGAATCAGGACAGCGAAAAACTTCGGAAACTGCGGAATTGAAGCTGTGAGATTACTCGGCTTTTCCCGGGCTTTCAAATGGTAGTAGTGTCATTCCGTTCCGATAGTCCTTTCACTGGCTAGCGATTCTTCCAGCCGGGGGAAACTATCAGAATCTGATTCTGATCGCAAATCCCTAGCCGACATGCCTGCATCATGACGAGAAGAGAACGGAGCGCCCTCTCGGCTTCGCGGCTTCTTGAGAACGTCGACTCGCTCAGTTCCTGAAAAATCGAATTGTGGCCCAGGTTTTTTCGGGTTCAATCACAAATTTTCCAAAAACCCGACAATTTTCTGGCGTAGCCGGAGCCAAATAGATGTCGTAAGTGAATTATCCTCATATCTTTTTTTTTGAAAAACCCCCAAAAACGTACATTCAATCCATTGGTGAGGGTCATCAGATCGCATAGGGCCTGTCGATGCAGCTGCAACTCGTCCAGGTTCCAGGTCGCCTAAAAAAATCAAAAATAACACGAAAACCACGAAAATTACGCTACATTTTTGACGGCCGTCATGTGGAGAAGGCGTACGCGTTGCTCATCCACGCTCTCTTCCTCTTTTTGGCCGTCATTTTCGGGTTGTTTTGAGGCGCCTCTCCGTCCGTTAATGTACGTGCTGACGACGCGGGACACACGGTCCAGCCACTTGAGCAGGCCGCGCGTATCTGAAATTCCACAAAATTACCGGGCATTCACAAAACACCGCCGGCCCTAACCCCAACGCGTAATCAATCGGTGGCCGGAGATTTCTGGCAGATTTCAGCCAAAAAATCCGAAAACCAGCGCCAAATTTCATCGCGTAATCGATTCTGGCGGGCGGGGGGGGGCGTATTTCATGTCGTAACCGATTACCCCGTCGTAAACAGCGTACCAAATTCGCCCCAGTCGATGACGGACCGCGGCCGGGCCGCGTAGAGCAGCTGCAGACGCGTTAAATCGATGCCGTCATCGGTTAGAGCCTGCAAAAGGGGGAATGTGTACACACCATGTAATTTCGTGGCCGCGACGCCATTAAACCGACGAGTTATACCTGTATGGGATCGACGCCATTGTGTTTGCTCTTGCTCATCTTTGCGTACAGCGCGTCCACGGGCTTTCCGGTGTCTTTTTCGTGTAGTTGGCCCGGTTTTGAGCTATCCTCTTCGACATCTTCGGCTTTCAAGAAACGGCCGCTGTCCCGCACCACGAATGTCCTGCAAAAAGGGGGGATTATATCGGGGTAATTCTGGGCTGGATTTCGCACGGAAAGGGACCGGAAATAGACCGGAAGTCAACGGGATACGGCTAAGATTCCTCGGTCCTTGATGGCGTGTCAGCCGGCAGGATCCGGTCAGATTCGGTCGCCACGGTGGCCGTTGTCGAAAGAATGATCTATATAAGAATCTGGCGCGAATCCCGCTGTTTCGGCTTGATTTCCAGCCAAAATCCGGAGCACTTCCGGTCACTTTTCCGGTGCAAAATCCGGGCCGTAAAGACGTGGTGATACCGTACTTGGCGCGAACGATGCCCTGCGGGATGAGATTGTCGAATGGCTCGCGAACCGGGCAAACACCAATATCCCACAGGAAATGCGCCATGAACCGGGCGTAGAACATGTGCAGGGCTGCTGAAAAATAAAGTTATATTTGGGAGGTCGCCCAAAGTGTCCGGGTGGACGCGTCGCGACCGCGTTGCGTGTCAGGTTCTTAGACTTGGCTTTCCGGAAACGAACAGCGACCCCAACGCGATAATTGGGCGTGTCTGATTTTCCTAGCTAAAGGACACGAAGCGCGACCGCGAAGCGTCAAAGGGTGAAACAGCCGGGTGGACGCGTCGCGGCCGCCCCCGCTGACGCCACGCGAGCGCGACGCATCAAATGGCCGTACCATGTTCAATGCCTCCAACATAGACATCAATCGGCATGGCCCGTTTCGCCTTCTCCCAGTCGACCAGTTTGTCGGTATTGCGAGGGTCGAGATATCGCAGGAAATACCTGGAAACGATGAAAAATAATCGCGAATCTATGATTAATATAAAACCGAAGATTTGTTGGTTTTCTGTGGAAAAGTCGGCGGACTTTTGAGGACGTCGGGTGGCTGAAGTTGTAAATTGAAAGTAATACCAGATTTTCATGGCTTTTGTAACGTTTTTATAGTAGTTTATGGAGAATTAGGGCCCTTAGGACCTTAATTACCACTCGGACACTGGTTTTTTGGGATTTCGCGGCCTTTTTTGAGTGAGAAACAAACGGTAATTCTACCCGGTTACAATGATACGGCTTTAGTTTCCGGCCGGTGACGATAATGTGCCTAGTACTCGGGACAATAAAACAGAAACATATAAAACGTGGTCTGAAGTAGAGAACACGATCAAAAACCCGATCCAATTAGCTGGTGGGGCGCTTGGGCTTTAAAGGGCTGGAGCAAAATGGGCCGGCGTCCGTCAGGGTGACGAGCCGCCGCGGCGCTACCATCGACGCTTTCCCTCGCGTAAGCGCCCCCAAAACCCCCGCTCGCGTCTGAAGAAACCAGTTTAAAGCGCACGTTCAGGGAGGGGCCGTGTACTCGTCCCAACGTGTACACCCTATGGACGTAGGGACCGCGCGCACTACCTGCCCGTGCTGTGACAGACAATTTCCCTCCTTTGCGGCGTCGGGCGCCCCTCGCTCTCTCGCCAGGTTGTAGCTGTGGCTGACTGGTATCCATCCGCGCCTCCCGAGCGGGGGACCCGGGTTCGACCCCCGGCCGCGGCAAAAATCTTTGCTTTTTCCAAAAAAACGTCCCTGAACGTGCCCTTTAATGTCTATAACTTTTTAATTTAGCCATGTTTTCAACTAAAAATTTGCTTAGACCAAGGTCTTAGTGATGCCAATCGATGCAAAAAATTTGAGCCGGATTTTCGGCAGTGGATCTGTGCACCTTTTTCCGAGTGCAAATGAAGCTTGTCATGTTTTCAAGGTAGGGAAAGACAGGGATCTGCATGAAAACTCGAAGCAAAACCTTATTGAGAGGGATAGTATAGCTTCTCAAGCGAAACAAGGCCCGGACCGCGCGGTAATTTATGCCCTGCGAGTGCAAGCTATCATTAAGCCACTATAATAACGTTAGAAAAGCCATGAAAAACCGCCTATTGCTGCGAATCGGCAACTTTGGATGCCCGACGTCTCAACAGTCTGTCGACTTTTCGTTGCATTGACTTGTGACAGACCATGACGAATCGAAGAAAGTGTCGAGAGTGTCCCGTTCGAGAATTCCCTCGCCGTCCGGAAGTCTGAAAAAAGGCAGAAAAATGAATGTATTTAATGAACGTACAGTGGATGTTTGAAGGGAGTTCCGGGATGGATGCCCTGAAGAACCGGAAGTTGTGAGGTCGATAGAGGGGCTGCCTGTCGACCATCAACGCTCAACGCCTCAAAGAACACCATTAAAAGATGCCAAAAATTGGCAATAACTCGAGAAATTCGATAGACATGCGAAATGATTAAACCATTTTTGGCCCAATTTTTTGAGTGGTTTTGACGGTTTTGCAAAAAAAAAACCTGGATTTTACTTCGCCATTTGGCTAGAAACTTGCAAAAAAAATGTTTGAAGATTTTAAAATGAATCAAAGCTTTTTCTACACCACGAAAAGTTGTTTTTTGAGCGACATTTGCCAAATTTCAATTTTTCCTCGTTTCCTAGACTTCAGCCAAAAATGTACCATTGGAATGGGTGTTCCCCATGTCCGTTGACGGGATACGACCCAGTCACGATGGATTCGAGACGTCACGTAGCCGCCGTAGCCGCCAAACTGAACAAAACAACACGGATATCTTTGTGTACGCTACTGGACGGCTACCTTTGCAATCTCCACCGCATCTTCCACGCTCAGCTCCATCGTTTTCCGTGGAGCATCCAGCTCCATGCCCAGCTCTGCGCTCCATTCAGCGTCGATCTGAAACACACACAAAATACAGGAAACCTCAAAAAAATCACCCCCTCTAGCGGTGCGCAGCGATGTCCGATTTTTTTGGCCGCGAATTACGCAATTTTCCGCCAAAACTTAATTTAACCGGCTTCCGTCCCATCCCAGCTGTGTATTCTCAAATGCCCTTCAAAATGCCGAACTTAGACTACCAGCAAAGATGTCAGCATTTCGAAAATTGGGTCTTTGTTAAACACCCTTACACGGGAAAAGCATCGAAAATGCAGCCAATTTCGCGAAATTTTTAGTAAATCTTATACAAATCGGGAATTTCACAAATCGGAGAATCTCCTCAGCTCGTCGAGCGCTTTCGTAGATACCTAAATCGTTAAAATCGGACATCACTGCGCACCGCTAGAGGCGGCCCTTTTTTGGGGCCCCCTGTAGAGCCCAAATCCTCCAGAATTCAGACATTTCCAAAGTATTTCCCCTCAACATTCCCACAAAAAGAGAAAAGCAACTCAAATTAAATTCTATATACGCCTGAAACACGTAAATTTTAGAGATTTGAATCGTCGAAAGCCAATTTTCGAAAGATTGCCGGTTTCCTCTTTCAGATACGCGTATAAATATCGCTTTTTAAGCCGATTCTCAGGTGAGCCTCGTCAAAACCGAGGAAAATCCTCAAAATTTGGTGCTGCACACCTTCGGATCGGCCAATCTAGATTCCATGAAATGTTCGGCGAGTTGGAGGAGTTTTGTGGGGACGACGAGGAGAGGAAGTGCGCATCCCGTCACTCCATTCAACACGTCAAACGGTAGACGATCTGCAAAAAACGGGCCATTTTTACCGCTTTTTTAACATTTATCGTAGTTTTGAGCGGGTTCTAGCTGCTTTTTGATAAAATAGGCTGAGCCAGCAAAAGGAGCAAGAAATATAGGGCGCCAGATCCCAATCCCAAGATTTCAAAATCCCAATTTTTTCTTACAAAACCGCGCTTTATAAATTTTCATGCTTTTTTCGACAGCAGACGACGACAGCCTTTTGAAAGCGAAGGAGAAAACCCAGCTGCAATGGCTCTTAAGCTGACTAGATTCAGATTTTTTTGAAAAAAAGCGTGTAGCGCCGGCACGAAAAATTGAGCAAATCGAGCATCGAATTCGGGAATTTCGAAAATCGGGAAGAACGAAAACCCACTAGAATCTCGAAAATCCTAAACAAATTGGTTTCCGGATGCCCCATAGACGATCTCCGGCTGATTGCCCCCGAGAAACAGGCAAATAACCGACACGGCCGCGTGGAGTCCTTGTTTTCCTTGTCGGCCAGTGGATGCTCGGGACCGAGGATGAAGAAAGCTGCCGATCCGAGCTTCCGTGGATCTCGTAGACGCAAATCCACGCGTTGGCCATCCTGCGACGCGGCGGGGGAGTGGCCCTGAAATTCAGAGATGTAATGCCGTATTTTACGCAGTGAATTTGCCAAACAGCGTTCGGGAGGAAGCAAAAAAAAACAGATGTCGCCAGAAAACGACGACCAATTAGTTTTGCTATATTTTATACGTTTTTTTTTGCAAAACAGCTGAATTTCAGATGAGAAATTTTCAAAAAACACCATGGTTCGGAATTTTAGCGTATTGTGGCAGCCATGCGGCGGCTGTTTGAAAGGCCTTTGAGAAAAGCCAGCCAGGGCGACGGTTCGGCGGTTTATACAGGGCGTCCCAAGAAAGACCCCCCTCTAGCGGTCGGCAGTGATGTTCGATTTTAACGATTTAGGTATCTATGAAAGCTCTCGACGAGCTGAGGAGACCTTCCCTCCGATTTTCAAATTCCCGATTTTTAACCAGATTTTCATCGTATTTTGGGCGTAAATTCCGCCATTTTGTGCAAAAACTCAACTTAATCTGCTTCATTCTCATTCAAGCTGTGTTTTCTGAAATGCTTTTCAAAAAGCCGGCCATGGGCTGCCAGAAAAAATGTAGAATTTGGAAACTGGGGTTTTTGTTAAAAGCATTGCATGGGGAAAAGCATCGCAGATTCAACCAATTTCGCAAAAATGTTGGAAAAGGTCATAAAAATCCGGGAATTTTGAAAATCGGAGAGAAGATATCTCCTCAGCTCGTCGAGCGGGCACGCTGGAAAGCGAGAGGATCGTCTTTTTCTTGGCACATCCTGCTGGATTTTCTTTTCCTTACTGATTATCGCAGGATAAAAACTGACGATGGTTGGGAAGAGAAAGCGATAGACATCGCATTTTCCGATCCAGTTGCTCTGTATTAGGGCCACGTCTTTCCATTGGGGCGCCAAGTCGAGCAGTCCATCGGAGAGTCTCTGAAAAAACATCATTAACAGAGTGAATGATAGTAAGCAGATACCTTTGCATACTTGGGCGTCTCAATCATCCACTGCCTCAACGTCCTCTTCTCAGCCACCGCTCCACTTCTCCAGCTTTTCCCATCAGCATCAATTTGTTCGTCGGCCAGCACTGTCCCATCGACCGGATCCCAGTTTACCTTAAAACCACATGTATTGCAGCCCTCGTCGCATTTTCTGGCGGAAATTCCAGGAAAACGACGTCGCAATTCACAATTTTTCCGTGATCGAAATCAAATAAATCATTCGGTTCTTTAGGATACGCGGGGGGATCAATTTTTTTTTCCTGCTTTCGCGGCCTAGTAATCAAAAATAAAGTGATTTTACTATATTTAAAATCGAAAAACTCAAACAGTTCGAAAAATGTTTGAAAAAGTCGGAAATGTGGGCATTCTTCGAAATCAAAAAAATCCAAATTATCGAGCTAAAATTCAATTTTTTTCCAATTAAAATCGGTATAGTTTCTATGCTTAGGAATAGTTAATAATAATTTAGAAACGCGCCCGTTATATGATAAAAAAATTCGGGTGAGGCGGAAAAAAGCTGGTCCCCCCCCGCGAATCCTAAAGAACCTATCATTGTTTTTACCTCGGACAATTGGCGTTTGACGAGTCCTTTCTCGTATAGCTTCAGAAAGATCCACTGGTTCCATCTAAAAGGAAAGAATATTCTATTGAAAAGAGTGGCGTCTACTACCTGTAGTATTGCGAATCACACGTCTTGATTTCTCTTTCCCAATCGAAGTGGACTCCCGTCGATTCGAGTTGGGCGCGCATCGAGGAAATGTTTCTGAAAAAAAACAGCAAGGTAAGATATTATTCGAAATCAAACAAACGTTTCTGTCCATTCGCCCGGATCTATTCTCCGCTCGCGAGCTGCATTCTCCGCCGGAAGTCCAAATGCATCCCAGCCGATCGGATGAATCACCTAAATATTACTATTAATTATTTTTAGACGGAAAGTATTGTAAAAATGGCATCAAAGCACTCGTATTTCGTGCCTTCTGGTCTAACGCCCTAGTTAGTGCCGAACACAGGTAAAGTATATCATCGAAAGGACTACCTCATATCCGGCCAGCCGATAATATCGTGCGAGAACATCGGAAAGTGTGTACACTCGCATATGGCCCATGTGAAGACGGCCCGATGGATACGGAAACATCGCCAGGATATACCTAAACGAAATATTATAGGAATACCGCCTATTTTTCGCCGTAAAAGCCACGTAAAAGTATTAGGATTGCTGAGCTTGATATGCCGCTAAAATTAGATTTTTTTTCGCCTACGACGTGGTTTAAACCAATCTTTAAGAACTCAGTAGGCCGAAAAGCACCGAAAAGTCTATAAAAGACCAACTTTATCTGATCCCGATGCCGAATTGGGGCCAACGTCGGGTCAATGTGGCGTTTCCAATGCTTCTCGATGCCTTTTAGATGCTGGGAGAAGCGGATGGAGCTGTTCTGAAAAGAAAACGACAATTATATTGCAATTTTCATTAATATAACCCAAACAAAAATGGTTTCATAATGCGTAAATACTCGCCTGTCCCGTGGGCAATGGCCATTCCAGGTAGGAGGTGCTTTTCAAACGATGTGATGACGAGATCAGCCGCCTTGCCCCAAGCATACCTGAAAAAAACCGGATAAAGAGGTGAAGAGCACGGTGAGGACATCAGAAAGAAAGAAAAGCGTGACGCGCGCGACATTTCTGCAATTCGTGAGACTATTTTACTTTGAAAACGCCAAAAACATCTTATAAAAAGAGCAATTTTCTTTTCTTTCTTGGGCAGTCGCGCCAATTCCCTCGCGTAATGCCGATCGCCGCCTAAAACGCGGATGCCCAGCCTATTCGCTCGGCCGTTGGGTTGCTATAGTGTGACCCCGGGCGGGCAAAACCTCTATAATCTAAGCTCTATTGGAAACAAGCAGAAAAGGCAATGAAGACAGAATCAGCCAAGAGGGGAAAAAAGACAAAGGGCAGAAAGAACACGTTTAATCCTTTTGTGCAACTCTAACAAAGAAAAACTAGGGTACCCTGGAGGACCTACTTTTAAAACGATTAAACTAAAACCCGAGGTGGAGATGAAAAAATGGAATAAATTAGCATTGACCGGAAGTTCCGGTTGGGCCGATTTTCTCAAATGTCCCCCTAGCTAATCAGTCGCCTCGCCCGACGGCCCATCATCCGGCGGCCCCTCCTGCCTGCCTGCCCGACCCCCATATATGGATCAAAGGGTAAATACTTATGCAAATATGGCTGGATTTTAAAAACTTTATGCAAATTAAATATCCCAATATTTCTTTTTTAGAATCGGCGGTGCGCGCCTTCATCAAGATGTGCGACAAGATGGCTGCTGATGACGAGCCCGGGATGGAGTCGCTGTTGCCGGTCGGACATGGAGAAGGAAGTGCGACGACTTCTGCTTCGCCCGCCTCTTCTACAACGACTACGGCAGTACGCGACGGTCCAGTTTGAACCTTTTAAAGATCGTATGATTAAAATCGGGTAAGACTCCAGATAACCCCCCAACCGGCACCCAACTTTTGTATCTCGACTCCCTGTTCATCTACAGGTGTGTAAAGTATACCAGAATGTTCGTCTTGCTGTGGCGAGTATTTTGGTATACTTCACACACCTGTAGATAAACAGGGAGCCGAGATACGGTAGGTGGGGGTCGGCTGGGGGGAGGGGGGTATCTGGAGTTTAGTCATTAATTATTTAACATAGGGCTAACACAGTGCCCATTTAGAGTTGTGATCTGGCGTCTGGGTCCGGGTACCCGGCTGCTGACCCGCTCGCCCCAACTACCCGGTCGACCAGGTACCCGCTCGGGCCGGCTCAGTCCATTACCCGCTCGCCCGGGTACGCGGCCGGACCCGGTCGCACCAACTACCCGTTCATAACCGGGTACCCGGACCCGGATACCAGATAAGTCCACATCCATGACATTTTTGAGAAATCACAATTCGAGTAGGGCATCGTAGATGCGCAAAACCTAAAATCATAAAATATGTGACTTACCTCGTCAATAAAAAATACCAGATATAAATATCTGCCAGTCGGAGTACATCGCCTTATTTAAAATGTAGTTATAAAAATAAAGGGGGTAGAACGAGTCCAAAAAAAGCTACTGCCGCTTCGGCACCCGCTTACCTGATCCTGATACTGTCGGGCCACCGGAAGTAATGTCCCCGTGTGCCCTCATCCACGACAGTTTGTTTTCACTGCCGGGATCTACAGGGACTTTATCACCCCTGTAGATCTCTCTACATGGCAGATCTTCTACCTTCGGGTCGCACCGGAAAGAGTCCATCCACGACAGGCTTCTACACCCAGTTGATGTCCTCTCCGCGCCCGCTATTCCGCTTTTCTCACCTCCACGGTCGGGTCACAGGAAGTGATGTCCCTGTTGGCCCAGGTCTACAGGGACTTGATCTCCCCTGGTAGACCCCTTCGCGCTTCTTTGACGGCTACAGGAAGATGCACTGATGGCCACTGCTCGACGACGATCTGCCCGCCGAGAAGCGCCACGTTTCCCCGCAACCTTCTGTCGTAGCCGTCGGCTGACCCATGATAGGAAAGTTTTTCACTAAATCAGTTATGAAGATATAATCAGTACGTATCGAAAATCTTATTCTTTTCTAGCGTTGCTCCTCCGATCTGAAGGCTGACGACGGGCCGGCTGGCCAACTGGGACGGGAGCCGCTGCTGCCACCCGATCGTGCGGCTCGCCCTGGAGGAAGACGCGCCGCCTCCTGTGCCTCGACCGCCACTTCTACATCGACTTCGGCCGCTCGCGACGGTCTAGTTTGATTCTTTTCACGCTGGTATCACTAAGGTGAAATTTAATCTAAAATATTATTTTTAATGGTTGTACCCAGCGCGTATGCCTGGGTTTATGGCGATAGCTTTTTAATCCCGGAACATCACTTCTCGAGCATAACCAAAATTTCCCGCAACACTTTTATCGCAGCAAAATAAGTCTAAAGTAAGCGAAAAACATGCTTATAAGCAAAATTTTGACAACTAAAATATGTGGGAGCCTCGTATATCAAACTCACTATTTGGAAATATCGTGCTCCGAGCCCTACTTAACACTTAGCCGGATTTTGACGAGTCAAAAAGCGACTGCCGTGGTCTACAGGAGCTCTGTCTGCCCTGCCAGCCCAATATTCGACATTTCTTAATCTCGTTCTCGGAGTGTCGGGCCTCCGGAAGTAATTTCCCGGTGCGCCCTCAACCACATTTTGTCGTACTCCACTGCCGGGTCTCTACAGGGACTTGATCCCCCTTCGTAGAACCTTCTACATGGCAGATCGTCTACTGTCGGGTAGCTCAGGAAGTGATGTCCCTGTCTGCCCTCAACCACGACAGGTTTTTCGACAGCCGCGGTCTACCGGGACTTGGCCTCCCCTGTAGACCCGCGATTCCGCATTTTCTCACCTCATTCTGCTATCGTCGGGCCACAGGAAGTCATGCCCCTGTCGGCCCAGGTCTACAGGGACTTGATCTCCCCTGGTAGACCCCTTCACGCTCGGCCGGCCCCACGAAGACGCGTTGTTGGCCTGCACGACGACGACTGCCCGCCGTGAAGCGCCGCGTGTTTCCGCAACTTTTGTCGTACTGGCCGGCTGACCCATGATAGGAAAGTATTCAACTAAATCAGTATGAAGAAGTAATCAGTATTTACCGAAAATCTTACTATTTTTCCAGCCTCGCTCGAATCGTGTCTGAGGTGATGCCGGGACGAGGAATGAGCCCCTTCTGCTTGGCGGTCGTGCTGCTCCTGCCTCTGGAGCAGATCTGTCGCCGCTTCTGCCTTGCCTCAACGACTTCGGCCGCTCGCGACGGTCCAGTTTGAATATTTTCAAAGTCCTAGGGCTAAATTTCCATTGAACACAGATTTATTAATATTACTAAGTTTCTCGGCATATTGCTTGGTCTAAAAATAGTAAAAAGATATAAGGTCTAAAATATGTGGCTAGCCTAATAAATCAAACTTACCATTTGGAAATATGTTGCTCTATGCTCTTGCGTATCACGCATTATATAACGGGGTTCCAACAAGTCTAAAATACCCACTACCGGGGTCTAAACGGACCTTTCCTGCCCTGTGGGCCCGCCTTTCGGCCTTTCCTCAACGCGTTGTCGCACTGTCGGGCCACAGGAAGTCGTGCCCCTATGCGCCCTCATCCACGACAGTCTTTTCTGCACTGCCGGGTGCTACATGGACTTGATCTCCCCCTGTAGAACCCTCTACATGGCATATCTTTTACTGTCGGGTTGCACAGGAAGTGATACCCCTGTCCGCCATCATCCACCTCAGGTTTTTCTATGCCGGGGTCTACAGAGATTTGAGCTCCTCTGTAGGACCGATATTCAGCATTTTCTCACCTCATTCTGACACTATCGGGCCACAGGAAGTGATTTCCCTGTCGGCCCAGGTCTAAAGGGCCTTGATCTCCCCTAGTAGACCCCAGCGTGCTTCTTTGACGGCCACATGAAGACGCGTTGCTGGCCTCCTCGACGACGACTGCTCCCGAGAAGCGCCACGTTCCCGCAACTGCTGTCGTAGCCGTCGGCTGACCAAGTAACTTGATAGGAAAGTTTTTCTTTTTTAATTAGTAAGAAGTAATCAGTAGGTACCTACAGGCTTCTTCTTTGCCAGCGTCGCTCGCATTCTACCGGAAAGCTGATGGCGAGCCCTGGGTGGGAGCAGCTGCTGCGAGTCGGTCCCAAAGACGCGTCGCCTCATCTCCATCTACCGCTTCTTCTACAACGACTTCGGCCGCACGCGACGGTCTAGTTTAAACTTTGAAATTTGTAGCGCTAAATTAAATTGAGCATGAGTAATTAGTATTACTCAGATAAGATTAGTATTGTTTGCCGATCTAAAATGCCTAAAAAAGTATAGAGTCCAAAATATGTCGCCAGCCTCATAAGACGTGGTTATAGTAGAATCAGAAAGCGAACAAGTCATAGAATTCATAGGATAAAGAAATACCAGCCAAAATTTTTTCAAAACTTTTCTTCCCGCCGGATTTCAGGCCAAACAAGCTGTGCCTGGCTCCAACTTGTCGATGCCGACTGCGCAAGATCAAGCTCAACCGGGCGAATGCGGAAACATTCGATCCGCAACATGCGAGTTGATGTCAAATGAATAAATCTTTATTCCGAGCCGAACATCAAGGAAATATACATGTAACCCTTTGTAAACCCCGGAAAATTTTTTACACAATTCACAAACAAGGAAACGAGTCAAGAAAATATTCTACCATGCTAGGAACCTGCACTGCACAATCTGCACATTACATTCCATCGTATTTGGGGCCCTCGCCTCCCTGCGGCGTCACCCAGTTGATGTTCTGTGTCGGATCCTAAATAAGGGTGTGAAACTCGATTAGCAGAAACTACCTTAATGTCACACGTCTTGCAGTGAATGCAGTTTTGAGCATTGATTTGGAGCCGCATCTGATCGGCATTACCTTCGGATGGAACGAATTCGTAGACACCTAAGAAAATAGGTAAACAAATGAAAATAGGAGACGGTGCCTACCAGCAGGACAGAAGCGAGCTTCCGGCCCGTCGTATTTCTTCAAATTGACATCGACCGGCACGCTGTCATCCTGAAAAAAAATCAAAAATAAAGAACGAAACTAATACGAACCTTCAAAGTCAAATGACTAGGCTGATTTTCTTCATGATTCGTTCCAGTCAACGAGACCGAATTCAGCAGATCGAACGTCAGCTTGTTATCGGCCTTCGTATCGTATGCGATCGGCTAAACCGAATTTTATCAAAAGTAGAAGGGATCGTACCTTTGCCTGATCTTTTGCAATAATCTTCTCATGATCCGGCTTGCCATGATGGAGAGTCCAGGGCTCCATACCACGCCCAATGACGTAGAAGAGGCCACTGTAGGCCAGTCCTCCCCAATAACCTAGAAAAGTAAAATTATAAATGGGTATATTAATAGAGATTACCCAAAGAGGTATTGAATGATGGTCGGACATTCCTTGTTGCCTTCAACTCTTTCATCACATAGGTATTGTCGAGCTCTTTCGGATACGCCTTCGGCTCAATACCTATAAAACCTCGTTTTACACCCAAAAAGACATTTCTCACTTTCAGCCTCAGGATTTGCCACAATCTCCTTGTAGATACTTTCAGCAGCAACAATCCCACTCTTCATTGCAACGTGAGTTCCCTTCAGCTTGGCAACATTCAGCAAACTGGCAGTGCAGCCGACAAGGCAGCCACCTAAACAATTGCTTTTTAGAGATTTATCATAGAGAGATATACCTGGGAATGAAAGCTTGGGGACGCTTTGATAGCCGCCTTCGTTAATCGCTCGGCCACCATATCCGATACGTTGTCCACCTTCCAAATGTTTCTTGATAGATGGGTGACGCTTGTACTTTTGGAATTCCTGGATTAGAGGTAACTGGGGTTGAGAAATGTCTACCTGGTATGGATTGAGATAGGGGTTCTTGTAATCCAACGCAAGAATGAAGCCGAGCGCTACGAGTGGCTGACCATTATCCTCCAGATGGTAGAGGAAGGATCCTCCATACGTGTCGACAGCCTAAAAACACAAATGAGAATGGAAGTGAAAGCAATAAAATCACAATCACAATGCTAAAAATAACTGTGATAAAGGGACCATTTTTATTAATATGACATTTCTAAATCAAGAGCTCTATAAAACGGACCAATGGATATCCCAGCGTGTGTTCCACGTAGCCGGGCTGATGATTCTTCGGATCGATCTCCCAAAGTTCCTTGATACCAATGCCAAACGACATCGGCGAGTTCCGCAAATTAAATTTGTCGAGCACCTAAACACAGAAATGCTTTATTATCTAAGCACCACAATACCTGCTTAGTCAAATGGCCGCGACAGCCCTCGGCGAAAATCGTGCATTTCGCGTTGAGCTCCATTCCGCGTTGAAAGCCCTCCTAAACACGTTTCTCATGAAAAAGGAACTTTCTCACCTTGGGTGAGCCATCTTTAGCGATACCAACATCATTTGTGGCGATACCTCGGACACTACCATCTTCATTGTAGAGAACCTAAAGAATAATGAAAATTTCTTTCAACTAGTTTACCTCCGAAGCGGCATATCCGGGGTAAATTTCGACGCCAGCGTCTTCAGCCACTTGTCCCAACCATTTCACAACATGGCCAAGACGCACGACATAATTTCCTGAACAAGATAATATTTCGAATAACTTTCAGAAACATACCAACATTGTATAGCGGAACGCCCGGGAAGACAGGCACTGGAATGCGGCCCGTTTCGGTGAGGATTGCGATAGATTCGGACTAGAAATGAAACGTGAAAGCTTCGCCTCAACAGAATTACCGTGACTTTCTGCTTGATAGGCGAATCCATTTCTTTCCAATTCGGGAGCAATTCATCGAGGGCTCTCGTCTCAATGACAGCTCCCGAAAGAGTGTGCGCACCCAGTTCGGCAGCCTTCTCGACGACACAGACACGCACATCTAAATGCAAGCTTTACAATAAACTGTGGTAGGCAACCTTTGCCTTCCTTTTCAGCCAACTGCCGCAAACGAATAGCAGCCGACAGTCCAGATGGCCCTAGAAAAAGTATTTTAGGATGATTTAAAGCTATTACCGCCGCCAACGATCACTACATCATAGTTGTCACCCTCGCGTTCCATCGAGACATCCTTCCATCGAGGATCTTTGTCGCGGGGCTAGAAAGCATAAGTTAAAAGGGCGTTTGAAAATACCTTGATAGTGTAATGCGTAGTTTTCCATTGCCCGTTGACTACATTGAGGGCGGATGTTGTTCTACGAAATGAGCAGATAAGTGAGGGGCGCATCTGAAAAGGAGTTATGAGCGTTGGAATGGCAGTTTGAAGCAGGAAATGATATGGAAAACACAACGAATGGCAAAACCCTAGGCAGGAGGGAAAAGTCAAAAGGAGACAAGAGACTATAAAGTTTGAAGCAGAAATCAGGGAACGTTGCACGATTACATTTTACGCTTTCAGGCAGCAATTATGCGTCTTTTCTAGCCAAGAAAAAGGGGACCATGAATTTTGCGCAACGAATTTTCGGCAACTCGAGAGATAGGGGAAACGGAGAGACGCAGACGTAGTTTGTAGTTGCCGAAAATTCGTTACCATGGAGTTGCGCAAAATTCATGGCCCCAGAAAAAGCACCAAAACCTCCAAGAAAGAGTAAAAAAACAAGTTGACCTGCAGGTGGACCATCGGGAGGCGTAGTTTTCGGGGTGGAAGGGGGGTAAACAAGGACAAAGTCCATAGCAAGAAGAGACGGAGCAGACGACGGACTGTCTTTTTAGAGATAAGCTGAAGGATGAGAGACTGCAGACGACCAAAAGCGACTATCAAGATAAAAACTAGCCCTGCGGCTCCTCGCCCTCACAAACTTTGGACTGAAATAGTGCAGAAGTCTCAACTCTCACTGATGTAGTCAAAACTTTATTCATTACATACAATACACTATTTGAGTTTGTGGTGAGTAAGTGAGTGGAATAATAAGTTTGAAAATTGAGAAATTAGGTACAGACGGAGCGCGATTTAGGGTCAAAGATATGGACAGAGCAATATCACCGGCTCAAGGACGAGAATCATTTCGTAGAAGAATGGCCGAGGTTATAAAAGCTCAAAAGCTCAGTGTAGCAGATGGAGGGAAATGCATAGAAAATGGCAAATGACAAACTTAAAAGGATACGTAAAGACTACGGCTTTTTTTCCGGTTCTGACGTTGTAGCTACTGGCTTTTCGACAATTTCTTTTGCTTCTTGCGCCTCTTCCAAATAAAAGTTGGAATTAGAGTTCGGCATCTGAAACATTGTGTTTTTGATGTGTTTCGCCACTTACTTCGCCAGCAGCAGACATTTGCGATGCAGCGCTCGTGGCCGCCGCTTTGAACCAGCTCACAAACGAATTTAATTTTGGATCTAAAGATTTATGTTTCCATTTCCGATCCTCGCCACTTACTGCTTTTGATCGCATTTCCAATCATCATGCCTATTTCACGAGGCGGTAGAGTGGCGCCGACATGTCTATATTCCGTTGATTAAACCAAGATTTTGTAAGGTTTTTCGACTTTTGTGTATTTCTAACAGCGCATTACTTACCCTTCTTCGCCTGCTGATAACTCGGGTGCCTTGCATTGGGCTAGTATTCGATAGTTATTCGTTTCCATCCACGCCGCCACGAACGGTGGGAAGAAATCTGTGTGTTTTTCCTGAATTTTGTAATCTAGTCAATAACTAAAACTTACCAAATTGCCAGATCGAGCGGCAAATGCTAGCGAAATCAGATAGTTCTTGAATTGGAGTCGTACCCATTCGTCACTGCCTTGCCAAGCTGAAAATTGAAGGAAATAAAGTTTTTAGGGAAATAGGTACCGCTTTCTTCGAGGTAATTCTGCTCCACCGATTTCAGCAGATAGTCGCCAAATCTGGCGTCGAGATTCGTCAGTTTGAGCTGAAAATTGGGTTATCTGAAGCAAGCGAGGCCACTTACAACACGACGGAGTTCTGGATCCCGTATATCGATGTTGGGGAAGTTCTTGTCGTCAATCTGAAGCGGATTTGAATAAGATTTTTGTTACCGTGACCTTGATTGTACAACTCGCACTGGCGAAGCCTAAAAAATAAACGGAATACAAAAGTACTGCGTGTAAAAACAAATAGTTAAAAACAAAAAGCTAAACAAATCGCTTTGCAAAAATATGGATAAGATAGAGTAGACGAAGGGGATTCAGAATATGGTGCTTCCATGTTAGCGGGGGAGCAAGGCGAATTTTTTTTTAATTTAGCCTATGTCTGCCTAGTATTAAATTAAAATAAAGTTTAGTAAGGTTTTTGGTAGCTATGATCATCAAAACACTATGAAACTTGATCAGAACCTCCTATAGGACTTTATACGACTTTAGCATGAGCCACGCCTTAAAAAAAGATGCCTTCCAACCTCAATTGTTTCGTTTGCTGTAAGGAACCGTCGATTAGTACCGTGCAGCGCCGGGAAGGCCCGGGTGTAGCGGGGGCCAGAAACTTTTTTCTTATAACTTTTTCAAACCGACTTGATATTGAAAACCCAATGAGCAAGTTAGCCCTCCGAAATACCACTTCACAAAGTCGCCAATAAAGAATCCTTATGTTTTGATACTTTTTGAATTCATTTTTCTCTACACAGTTTGAGATAGCTTTTTTAAGTTTAGGTTTATTTTTAAAGTTATAAGGCTTAGGAGTTTTGGCCTCACACATTTTTGAGTCGATAGGAATTTCTTCTGTTCCCGCATTTTATGAAGAATAAAAGCTGTAAGCAATGGCCGGTTGCAAGACTACCACAGGTTTTACTGCCGGATCCATTTCAGTCCGCATAATCGCTCATATTGTTAATTTCGGTTATAAAAAAGGATACAGAGCTGGGCTGGTACCAAACCGATTTTAGGACCCCTGTAACTTTCATTAGGACCCCTAAAACTTTTTTAGGACCCCTAAAAGCTGTTTGTTACCCAGAGCTGTAACTCGAAGGGTCTACGCTACAAATAACCATCGTACATATGAAAAGATTTGAAAAACGCCTTCTATCGAATCACGTTTCGAAAATTCTCTAAATAACTCTCTAAAATGGTTAAAAAAGGCTTCAAAGTTATAGTACTTCCCCAAAAAAAATTTAGGACCCCTAATTATAAGTTTTAGTACGCCGACAGACCCCTATAAGTCTTAGTAGTGATTCAGACCACCAAAACTTTTTAAACCTTTAAGCCCGATTATAAATTTCCCGATGATTTTCGCCGGCATCACAACTTTACTAATTTGTTAAGGATAGCCTAAAGTCGCTAAAAAGTTGTTTCATCCCTGCCGAAACATGCCTAGTCGTCCAAAAAAAAGCCTTTAGAAAAGGTTTACGTCCTACCTATAACCAAAAGACTTATTTCTTCATCTTTAAGTTTTAGGACCCCTAAAAGTTTTCACCTTTCCCCTTCAAGTTATCTTTGGCTTCAGACGGGCAGAGACCACTACTGAATTCTTATAGTTGATTGACGTCTAAAGGAAACGGCGCGATCAGTGTCGAAATATGCAATTTTGGGTGATGATCTGGCTAAATTGCGTTATATGGTCACTAAACCGATTTTGAATTTTTATATGTCAAAATGCTCAGCAGTTCGAGCTGGTTCAGGATCAGTTGAAAAAACTATTGGGAAACACTTCTGGAGCGAGTTATAACACTTGAAAGTTGGCAAGTGTCGTATATGGTCACTAAACGGATTTTCGATTTTTCCATGTTAAAATGCTCAGCAGGCCGAGCTGATTCTAGAACAGTTGAAAAAACCTTTGGGAAATACTTCTGGAGCGAGATATCCCACTACAAAGTTTGGCGTCACCCCGGCCCACTACATAACTTTGTCGGCCCGGCGAGTCAGTTTTCGGTGTTGCGAAAAATGGTTGGGTTCGAAATGGGTTTGGCATGAAACTACACACCCGATCTGAGCCTAAAAATAAGGCTTCGTGCCACCCCGGGGCCTAGTCGCTTCGGATGGGTGCGAGCTCGTACAGGGTTTCGAAATGGGGGCGCCAAGGCCGGCGAAGCGGCCGGGGGCGCCCCCATTTCGAAAGAGTGGAGCGGCAGCCCATCCGAAGCGACGGCCCACCTTGCCTGACAATGTATTTTTTTACCCATGAAACGGCAATTCTCCACCATTCCGTTTCTTTCCGATGTACAGTTGGCGTATTTTGGTGTACTACGTACTACTTCAGGGGCCGAATGGACGGTTTGTAAGCTAGATATCTCGCGACAGAGATTTTTCCCAAAAGTTTTTTCAGCTGTTCTAGAATCAGCTCGGCCTGCTGAGCATTTTGACATATAAAAATCGAAAATCCGTTTAGTGACCATATACGACACTCGCCAACTTTCAAGTGTTATAACTCGCTCCAGAAGTGTTTCCCAACAGTTTTTTCAACTGATCCTGAACCAGCTCGAACTGCTGAGCATTTTGGTATATAAAAATCCAAAATCGGTTTAGTGACCATATAACGCAATTTTCCCGATGATCTTCAAAACCATATTTTCGGCGATTTTTTCTACCAAATTCGACGTTTCAAACACTCATATGACGCAAAATGGCATGAGTTCAGAAATGACCTTTAAATCGATATTTTAGCGTTTTCTGCACGATAAATGCTAAAAACTTTTTCGCGCAAAAAATAGAAAAAGTGAATTTTTGGGCTTTTAGTTAGGGGTCCTAAAACTTATAGGTAGTTTTCGCGTTTTGGTACCAGCCCAGGTTTTCCGGTCCGATTAAAAACATTTATAGGTTACGCGCCTCGATGACTGGGAAAGCAATGGCTCCAATGGGAAGCCATTTCGCCGATCTTGATTATGAAATGGATGCAAGTGACGAACCCGCACCTTTTCTGCTGCCAACGGTATGGATCTTTTAAAACTAAAAATCGTTTTGCTAGGCCGCTGAAGTTGTCGAGCTGCGGAAAGCCCGTAACGAAGAGGCCGACGTCCAAATGGAGACCTCCGAAGAGATGCGCACGATCATTCTCAATGTGAGGATTGTGCCAATCGTGAATAACGTGTAAATTCTAGAGATGCGACGTGTTCTTCGAATGGGTCTTGAATTGCGAGATTGCCTGGCTCGATTCGACCGACGCCGGTGCTCCGTCGTTTTCAAGATTCCCACATCGGGTAGACGCTTGCAACCTCATATTTTAACCGGATTTTCAGCTGCCACAAACACTTTTCACCGGAATCGAATCCGAACCGGAAGCTTGCCTCGAGCTATATGCGCTGGGAAAAAGCGTAGAAGAGATTGCGGTATGGAGAAAGCGATTCGGCAGGAAAAGAGTTTTTAGGAAAGCCGGTTTCTCGACAAAAGACGAGTCCTGATGGGTATCATCCTAAAAATTTGGGAAGGTATTTTTTTGATGGAGTACCAAAATGAGGATTTTAGATCGGAATAGTAAAGAGGTGTCCCTCGAAACCATCATTGCTCATGTTGATGTCGACGTGGCAATGATCGCGGTAATTGTTTATTGAGTGACATATAGGTTTTTTTAGGAATGTAAGAATTACCTGGGCCGGCGAGGGGACTCCAAGGTGTCTCCGCCATGTTTGGTGGAAAATGTATTCATCACCCCACTTGGCTTGGCTTTCGTTCTACTTGTTGTCAAAGCGGAAATGGAGCAGTGGCCGCTGGATATCGACTGGCAAGCTGTTTCCTACCACGAAATGTCTGAATCGGAAGTGCGTTTGGTATGCTGGAGAGCTTATTTGATGATGTTCTTCAGTTGGGCGCTCTTTTTGAAGAAGGCTGTCAATATTTCGTCCCTGCGAATCTCCCTTCCACTTCCAGCCTTGATGCGAAAATTAGGCGAGTTGCTGGCTGCTGGTCGAACTTTGCAATTTAGAAAACTGGCAATCACCGCTGAAGAAGAAAAAAACGCGCACGCCAGCTTGCGATATGCTTTCAACAAGTCAATGCAAGAACTGGAAAAGATGAATTCAGAACTTACTGCACTGGTAGGCTCCAGAGTTCGCGAGTTAAACTGACTGTTTAGGCGGAAATTTCGGCAAATGCTCAACGGGCGGTCATTCATAGGATGGAAATGGCGGGCGACGAGCTTGGCCCACCCAGTACACCGTCTGAGAGGCAACAGGTTTGTCATTTCAACGGATTTCAGAGGGAGCTATTTTCCTAGAACGAGAAGGAAATAAGAAGAGTTAACCAGGAGCGCAGTCACCTGGCCGTGTTCGATCAGGTAATTTTCTGCCAACAAAAATTTGTATTCTATTTAGGAGGGCGCGAAAGCCACATTGACGTCGCTCCGCGAGCTGGCGATTGGCCAAACGGTGTTGGCAAGAAGGGAGCCCCGTGATGGTTGTCCGTTCGAAACAGCCGTTGTTGATGAAATACGGGTAAATTTCTGGGATTCATATGACGTAATTTTTCACTTCAGCTTCCTCTCCACTCCTACCTGATCAATTTTGGCGATGGCAATCGGGTAAAAATGATTCTGGGTTGCGAACGTTGTTTTTAGCAAGTCATCGAGGTGGCCGATCTGGCACTCAACCAGCCGGGTGTACACACCCTCTTTTCTGAGGGCCTACGCGTTTGTGCAAAGGTAATTTGCAGAGTTCTGGTCCTTTAGCGTAGGGGAAGGCATTTTCCCAGATTTTTCGATTTTTTGGCGAGGTTTTCCGAAATTCTGGTGATTCCGTTCGATATTCGGCCATAAAATAGATTCAAAGTTTTGATTACGGCGGCGCAAATTAATGTAATTTGAAAAGCTGGAGCGAAGAGAACCTATAGAGTATCCCCCCCCCCGCTAATGCACCAGAGCCAGTTACGACTCGGGATTTTGCACCGACATTTAGATTACGCATCCATATGCCAGGGCACCCTCGAAACGTGACCGCGTCGAGAACTACTATTCCGGCGTCATCTCAAATCGGCCGGGACGGGACCACAAGATGCAGTTCCTGGTAGCGCATCTTTGTCTATCATCTTTTTTTTTCAGATCTTTTTTGACGACGACTTTGACGAATACGTTTCTGGAGCCGACATACAGCCCATGTGTTGCCAGCCGATTTCTAACGGCGTTTTGGACAAAATGATGGCGTCGAGCTTCATCAGGTCCGCCAAAAGCGTTTGCTTGTTGTATCACCGTATTTAGGCAGAACCAAAAGAAGCGAGAATTCGTCGACATGTATTTCAAGTCCTACCCTGAATGGAACTTGGCGTCGTTCAAAAAAACGGACATCCACAAAAGACTTGCTTGTCGCACGAGGTAATCCTCGGATCTATTATATCTATCGGTATTTTAGAAATCGTGATCGATGGTCGGCTATTCTGCTTGCGATTGATCGACACATGTGCACGCTGCGTTTCCCACCGTTGGAGCGAACGGTACGTGAATGGTGTGATTCATGCTTTTTTATTTATATTGCTTGGTTCATTTATGCACATTTAGATGGGCGTTGGCGCAAACTGTGTCGCCAGCCCATGTCACGCTCACTTTCACACCGACGAGCGCATCTACCGCGGCTCCAACCGACTGCTGATCGTGGTGAGGTTTATTTATTGGTTTTTATCCCGATATTTTTCAATGTCATTGGCTTGTTTCTAGGAGCAAGGATTGCTGCCTGACCCTGGACGTCATCGCCATTTGAATATGCTGGAAAACGCAGTGCCGACCACCGCCACGTTCTCTGGCACGGAAAAGACGAAACGCGTTATGACGGTATCAACTTTTTGGGCCCTCTTTTGACCATCTCGAATTTTCTGGAATGCGAATTTGGAATTTTGAGAATCTAAAATTTTCGGCATCTTGAATTTTGAAAATCTAGAATTTTCGAA